CATATTGTCGAATGTGAGTAATTCGGTTTTTAATATAAAACATGCATCTTTTAGCTTGTAGATAATAATCGGCCTTTTGTTATCTACATTGATGGGTTTTCATGTAGCTGATTGATTTAGATTGATCAATTTAGAGGGAAATTTAATTTGTTTCATTGTGGAACAAAAGTTTTGAATGAGCAGCAAACAACTTAAGGTGACTGCCTACTTTTGGAAATTGATTTAAGCTTTTTTTAAAACTTCGATTTTCCGAATTGAAATTTAATGCTGATTCCAAATCTGGAAAGAAAAATAGGGCGTCCCGAGCTCGTTTTCGAGATAATCAGCATTTAATGGAAGCCTACGCACGAGCTTTTGGAGTAAAAATTGCGCCACCGGAAGTGATTAGAAAAAAATTAAGATGAAAAAGATAATAGTTATTTGCAGACTATATGATTGCATGAATGAAGGCTAGTCAATCATTATACAATAATACATGGATATCTTCGAAAAAAAGACAGAGAGATACATTGATTTGTCATATTTTGTAGTTTCGGTGCTCTTATAAAATCTCATAAAGTCGAACAAAAATCCCTACAAAAATCTATTTTTTCACDTGTTCCTGATTTAAACTTTTCCTAAAATGTTGATATAACCTAGATTTTTAGGAGTTTTTTCCCGTGCAAAATTCGAGGGTTTTGCCCTGTTGAAGCTCAAAACGCGTATGGTTCTTCAATAAAATCTTGTAGATTTTTCAGCGGTTTTTGAGCGYGCGCTCATCGTGGGCTCAATTCGAACGTTCAAAATTAGGCAGCCACCTTAAACAACAGTAAAGGAAGGATTATTAGAAAGAAAAAAAGAAAGAAAGAAAATGTAAACTGAGATGAGCTTATCTTCAGAGGAAACGTCAATGCAGAAAAAGTATGATAAAAATGTGATTATATCGCTGTTATATTAGTTTTTATTATTGAATTTTGATGGAAACATTACGTGCCTTTGTATAACTGTTTCTATTTCTTTTTGGACCAAATCCCATGATGGATGTCAACATAAGTGCTTTTCAAAAACCACGATAAGAAGCAAGGCGAAGTGGTGGTCCTATTTCAAGGGGCCTCCTCTTACGAACACAAGATTGCTTGATCACCAACGCCATTAGATYGTGCAACAGTTAGTAGGCAGTTGTGGGTACTTTCAGCCACAATAAATAACCTTAATGGATGTTCGTGTGGCCAGTTTTGCAATAATGGGACACTAATGCTAATCTAGTGTGAATTCCTCTACTCTAAGTATCTTGTTATTAATAATTCAAAGCTCTTCACGATCATTATCTTAACAAGCCAGTTCCACACTAGTGTTTAGCTCTGCATTCCTACGCTTTTGCCCAGTGTTTTAAAGTATTAGCTTCGTGTGAACGTGATGTTACAGCGGTGAATAACATTATCGTCGTAGATAAAAGAATTCATTGTTTAGCCCTTCTTTTCAATTCGTTTGCAAACCTCACTTGGAGACAAGATTCTCCGTTTCAATGAGTGGAAGTGCAAGCTCAGGTCAGAAAATAATATTTACTCATCAATTAATTGATGTTTATATTTTAACTCGAGTAACAAAGGCATTTGCTAGGCCATAGCAAACAGACAAACAGGTATTAGTTTTGACAGTAAACGTATTGCATTTTGTCGAATGATTAAATGCATGGCATGCTGCCTTTTTATCTTCACTAAGCAGGCAGTATCTTATAGGAATACTCCAGTTTTAATTTCCCCTTTGCTCAGGGATAGCCTCTGCTTTGCTGTAGAATATTTTTGAATATTCTGATGCTGCTGAAAGAAAGCTTTATACCCTGAGTAAATGATTCTGTAATCAAGGTCGAGCACAGCGATATAATATCATCCCTTATTTGTGCAAATATGACGATTCTCTTCTTTCGAGAAAAGAGAAACCTTTTCTAGAATACTTCAATTTTTGCCAAAAAAAGGAAAACTACATTAAGCTATTAAACGGCTCAAATTTTCACTCATAAGATTAATAATATATGTACATCTGGTTTATATGCCGCTCAATACTATAATTATTCTTTATATCTCTCCTCTATATGACTTATGCTGTAAGRTAGGTGGAATTGTTTAAGAAAAGGCAGGATGACCTTAGTGTTAGGGGCAACACATCCGCTGTTTAGATGTGCTCCTTTTCTTTGATTAAGCTGTTTGTTTATAAGTGAGTTGAACTGTTTACAATGATAGTAGGCCGATCTTAATGTTAGAAACCCCATCTAAAAATACAGATCATTTTGAAAATTCTTTTGGACGCGGGGCTAACATGAAAATACAAGAGTAATCACCCTTTTTTAGATGGAATATGTACTATTCTTACTTCTTTTCCTGTCATGCTCGCATATTAAATAAATATTTTAATGGAATCTGTAGTCCTAGAGTAGCATTAAAAGCTTGCAATACTTTGTACTATTTAGAACTAAATAGCACTAATTACATAATAGAGAACAATAGAATTAGCACAGTTTCACATTATTTAGTACTATTTATGTTGCACACTTTTAGTGTTTGTACTCTACCTTCATGTAAACATGTCCTTGACTTATTTTTTTCCCCTGCGTTTTTGAACGTTTATACAAGATTAATAGAAAAATTCATTATACATGATTATTGCGAACACGATTGATTTCGGAACTGTTTGTTATGCTTTCGTGTGATGTACAAATGTACAGTACTAAGGAGCGATAAGGCTAGGATAAGCCGATAGCAACATACAGTCAATCCATCTGATCCTTTACTTTTTCACTCAACTATTGATTACCAGCATTTTCTGATTATTTGTTGAGTTCGCGCAGTCTTCATTATAACTAGGGATCATATGAATATTTAAATCAAAACATGGTCATGTATATTTGTTTTCAGATATATATTTTAATATATTTTGCAATCGTATATGCTCATAGTTTTAGTTTTGAGCAATATTTTTTATTTGGAAAATGTTTTTACATATCTCGCCTGATGTCTCCATAGAGTTCAACAAACAATGTAATCTGGCAAATTCCTTAGTCATTTAGTATTCCATTTAGTATTCCACTTAAAACAGAAGGAAAAGTAATCAATCTTTATTCATATTTTTAAAAACGCAAAATAATGTAAAGAGATCGTTATTTTAAGTTGTGATACTTGGAGTCGCTGCTGGTCTCCGTTGCCAGTGGCTAATGTTTTTAAACTTGGAAGTATAATACGACATACTCCACACTCGCTACCACTATATGTAGTATTCTTGATAAGCAAACAACTCTCAACTCAGATCAGTATTGGGGTTTGTGGAGGAAGGAAATCCGAAATACGTGAAGAAAAACCCTTGTGGCAAAGGAAGAGGACAATTTGCAAAACTTTTTCAAACTAACTCCTTCACATGAATCTTGAACCAGAGACCGGACCCGTACTTAGGTGTCACAGTGTTGAAGGGAAAAGTAGTTTGAGTATAGAAGTATTGATTAGTCTTCTTTAGTTTGTTATTCAATTCCACCGTGATAATCCGCTGATAATTCACTTAAACTATAAACGGCAAGTAATTTAAAACCATTCATTATTGACACTTGAAGTTTCATTTTCAAAGGAAACCGCTCGACAGACCGCTTCGTCCGACACTGAATAGAAAAGTGCGTTCTTTTTCACTGCTGTAATGGATTTTTTTATTTTCACTTGAAATTTGTAATAAGGGAACCACACAGAACCGAAATTAAACTTCCTCAGACCTTTTTCTTTCTTTCAAATAGTATTCATTTTGAACTTGTAAAATAAATACTAAGGATTTTTCTAAGCCTGAGTGCAAAAAATTAAATTTGTTTGTGTTAATCGTGTAGCTCATAGCACTAGGTGCCCTAARCAATCACCGAGATACGACCTATAGTGAACAATGAAAATTCTTGTGATAAAAGAAATAATTTTTTTAAGATTCAATTATTAGTCAGGTACACTGTCACGGACAGGAACGAAGTGTTGGTTTTTCTATTTCTATTCAGTCGTTTTTGTCAGCTCATTCAATCCTTCGAAGATGTTAATCAGGTTTTACGGAATAAGTCCTTCTCGATTACGATTTCTTTGTAAATAAGACAAATGTAAAATCACGTCGAAGAGTATAAAGTAGAGTTTCATAACATAGAAGTTGGGATGATAAATGACACATCTCGTTAAGTCTAAATAGACTCAAAACTGAATTCAATATACTTCTTTTACCTAGATTCAGTATTTTTTTCTGCCGTTATTTTTACAATTATAACCTAAAAAAAAGTTTTAACTTGAAAATACTTTCTTAAGGAAGCGAGTATTTCCTCTATAGTATATGACACTCATTCAATTTTCCATAATCATCACAAAGCAAGATTAAGCACACAATATATACGTAATTAGCTAGTCTAGTCCTGCCGTCAACGCTCCGTTACAAAACGTTCTTTACTTAGCAATATGATTGAATTCTCGTTTCAATTGCCTTAATCAACTAAACGAAGCGTATTGGATAGTCAATAGGCAAAGGTCTCGCATGAACCATCCTTCAAATAGCAGACAAGTAGCTTGTGATTGGCTTACACTAGATTGGCGGCTTTTTAATATTGTTTTTTTGTTTTCCTAATAATCAATAATTAACGATTTCTAGCTTTCAATCTCTCGGAAATAGATGCGGTTGAGAGATTTATGGAATTTGCTCTAACGAGGAGTATCGTATCGTATCTGGACCTAGCTAGTTTGGGATGTAATTCATGGAATGGAATCCCAACCACGTACGGAACAATTCTTTGTTTCGACTCCAGTCCAGACGCCTCGCCTCCTTAGATCCCACTAATAATGATATCAGGGATCTTCTTAAAGATTACAAGAGTGATTTGATGCAATTTTCAAATAATTTTTAGACTAAAGAGTTATATAAGACAATATAAGAAGATGCATGGTGAGTTAGACCGACATGCCAGGACGCATCTGTAAAGTCCATATAATACATCAACGAGGATTTTTTTTCTTTTCCTACAGATTTTCATCGACTTCCTACATCATCTACTTATTTAGTAATGAGAAAACGACTGAAGTAACGGCATTGACGGAGACTTGAGGACTGACAAAGTATATATAAGATGAGTCCAAATGTCCCCACAATGGTCATTAAATCCTTAACCAAACACAGAAGACTCTCTCAGCCATTGTTATTCAGTCTAGTATTCCTTGGTAAGTCTCAATATTGTCAATCAAACCGAATATTATTYATCTATTCATTATCTCTCAAATATATGCGCGCCAAATAGAAAATTTCAATTCAAAATGAAGCAAGTTTTTCTGGTTTCATTTCTTAAAACTCATTTTGTGACATGTGTAACGATTATTGCTTGAGGGATTCAGACGAACGTTATGACTGACGGTCAGGGGTAAAACCATCTAATAAACTCCCACCACGAGGAAGCTAGTCGCGCTCAAACAACTACTTTATTTTTCGAGCAAGCTTCTAATAAAAGATCTTCAAAAAAATCATAAAATATTGAYCAAAAAAATTTAAGAGGGGCTTAGAGATCCAGGGTGCTAGAATAGCCTAGAATCAGCAGAAAAAAAGACTTCCTAGGGGTGTCTTGGTTGTGAATGAAATAATCTAAATTTTGCAGTATAGTCCGCCATTTTGTAAAAAAGGCGCGGTAGGGATTTAAAGTCATGAAGAAGATCAGATTGATTAGCAAATATATTGTATACATGTTTAGATTCTTCRGGGTAAATATAGGAAGGTATTACCTTTATTCAAAAGTGTGTTGGTAGGATAAAAACAATAGAGTTTGGGGTTTTAGTCTCACTAAGGTTTACGTTAGTGAGTTATCAAGCGCACCGTTGCCGTCAATCATTTTTCATACKGGCTACCAGCAACACGGCATTTATTTGCAGAAGCTTCCAATTTGGAAAGGTTTACGAAAGTTTCTATACATTAAGGGTGTAAAATGAAACACTGCAAAGCATTACCTCGAAATTATTAATTTAATTTTAACTGAAACTCAGGTTCAGAATCTTCCGTTTTTTTTACCGGCTTACTCAGTTTGCTAAGCTGGACTCTGATTCAGTTGAGACCATATAAACCCCTTCTACCGTATGTTTTCTTTTCATTTCTGTTTACTTTCAATAAGAGGGTGCTTGATGAAATCACTTTGGATAATGTTGTTCGACTGTTCACGAGTTCACACGCCGAACTTTTTGTGCCGAACTAAGCAATAATATATAGGAATAACAATAGCAAGAAATTAAAGCCCCTTGATTAATTATCGGTTATCTTTCAAACAAAAGTGTTTCTGTTTGACGACTCTTAAAAATCCAGTATATGCTGGCTTAGCCTTGAATCCAGGAGTTGCTGGTTTTGTTATTCTGATTTCTGCTTTTGTTTAATGACCTCAGATGTGAGGCTAAGCCCTCATAATCTAGAGTTTTAAGATTCGTCTATAGATTTCAATATTATGCAAACTATATGCTGCATTCTCAATGGATAATCAATTTTAATTGAGCCACATTTTGAGGCAAAATTAAGGAATCGGTTTCATTTTGGAGTGCATGTGACGTCATAGCCGCCATGTTGAATGAATAAAATAGGATTGAGGCTATGATCCAACATGGCGGCCATGTCTTTCGTTACTTTGTTGCTTTGGGATTTTTTGCACACCAAGAGCTGCCTTGTAATTGTGTATGAGATAGAATGTGTCTATGATTCTATACATGCTGTCTTTTATCATGGTCACCCTCATTTGACAATTGCTGCGGGTGCACAGCGCTTGTCGTCTCCTTGACAACACGGACATCACATGATCAAGAAAGCTGACACTGCTTTCATGGCTCTGTTACTGCTACTGACGCTTCTAACCTGAACAAAATTAGTTGACAAAACTTTAATCAGCTGCGTGGGGGGCTGCGTTTGTTTGCTTGTATTCACATCACTCACTTTACCTATAATCAATTTTAGATCCTTGATTTTCTTAATCTTTTTAGTGTCTTGATTGTCATACGTCCTCGCTTGTTTGTTACTAATTCATTTTTAAATTCTCGTCAATCTTTTATTTCGACTTTCTTACCTCTTGTGTGCATTTTGTCGTGAGTTTCGTATTGTTTTGTCGTTTGTTTTATTTTTGTTTATTATTGTCATTTGTTTGTTTGTTTGTTTGTCACTCTTCCTTATTTGTTTGTTTCTTTTTTCCCCCTCTCTTTTGTATTTTTATTTGTTTTGAACCTTTGATTATTAATTTACTTTGATATTCCTTATCAAAAAGAAAAAACAAAACAATTGTACAAAACAAAGCAAAACCACAATTTGATGAACAGCAACGTTACTTTATCACCTCAAGTACTCTTTTTCCTTCCTTTGATTACTAATGTTCCATATTTTATTCTTATATTTTTATTCTAGCTTTCCAACATACTGCTTGTAAGTAGCATTTACGGTTTAGTAAGTTCTGCATACTTTTCTCTAGCACGTGCAAGAACCTAACGTAATAACCACTTTTCTCGCTGTCATGCACCACTCCAGCGCAAAGACTCACCACTAGCTCTCACCTACACAATACAATACTAACGCACTCTAGGACATCTAGCTACCACATTGGTATTCGGTTCATAGACCTATCCCGAATTCGCTTGACTGACCACGAAACAATGGTTTGAAGTCGAGACTGAACTTGATTCTTYTATTCATCAAGTTCAGTCTCGACTTGAAACCATTGTTTCGTGACCAGTCAAGTGAATTCGGGATAGGTCTATTTCGCTAGCTTTCGAGTAATTCGTTCATGCAATATCTCACGTCAAATGTCTCACGTCTTGTTGWTGACATTGCCTCGGATCAAGTGCTTTATCAAGCTAACTGTTGATAGAGCTATTCCTTGGCAAGGAAGAAATGCATTCTAAATGTAGTTTCAATATCAAAACCACCTTGCAGAAAATATTCCATATGTTCTTTTATCTCGCGAGAAAAAATTAAACTTACACAGTTGTCCATTCTTTAGTTACCGCGTCCTTCCCCTAACAAAGATTAGTAAAATTCGGACCAGAAAGGAACATTTTAACTGTCGAAGAAAATGTCGACGTGAAACTTCCTCAGTTGAAAATAAGCCTTTTTTCAATTCATCTATCAAGGACAAATATTTACTAACTYTTCAAAGAAACGTTTTAGTTCTTGCATGAACCTTTCAAGAATCCTGGGTAGGGTTCAGCACGACGCATGCGTGAAAGAACAACCTTTATTTTGCTGGTTGTTCATGCATGGTGACTGAAGCAAGCATACATTTATTCATTCCTGCTCCAATGCCGCTTATAATATCTACGACATTGAATCAAAAACAGCTAAAAACTAAAAATTAAATGCAGAATAAAGATTTTTTCAGAATTTATTTTTAAAGAATCAAGATCTTTTAAATAGGATTAAGATTTTAAGAGAATTAAGATTATTATAGAATTAATTTTTTTTTTTACAGAATTAAGATTTTTATAGGCAATAGCATGGTTTTTAATTTGGCAAAAAAAGACGAGTGATAATACTTCAAAATTGATTCCAGTCGCTTACCACTTGTGAATTAAAATCATTACCAAGCAATTYCGGCGGAAATTTCTTGAGTGGTTAGTCATGCTACCATAAATATCACGTGCAAATCATGATATCATTGATTTTACTTGGAAATCTAATTCTCAAAACCAAATTATCAATAAAATTTAGTTGTTTTGTTTTTTTCAATCTAAACTAAATAAATATTTTGATTGTAGTGTCTCAACAAATAGAGTAGATTGCATAACTTTTAGTCAATTTTCAGTCTCCCAAGAGAAATTTTTTTTTTCAAAACAGTGTAGTGGATTTTAGTTGACCTACGTACCAGATGAAATCCTTGGTCATTTTTTCGATTACATATTTATATTCCTTTTCTTTCCTCTTGAAAAGTTAAACTAAAAGTGAACATATAGATCGGAATTGCTTCAATACAGGGTTTTCTYAAATCAGAAATTATTTTAAAAGAAATAAAACCTATGATCAAAATTCGATTTGAAGAATAAACTGAGTGTAAAAAAATCTCTATTCATTGATTGATTTTTTAAGATTTTTGCTTCAGATTATGAACAAAATAAATAAAACGAATGATCAAATTCTGCTTTAAATAAATAAGTTATTACTGATTGCAATTGGATGGTCGATGAAATTAAATGACAAAAAAATCACCCCAAAAAACAATTTGTTATATTTGACCTGCAGGTAGCGGCCATGTTGATGACGTCATGTGGTTGTTGTGTTGTAATCATTAGACTTCTCTCACGGTCTTTCCCCATGAATGGAGCAGTAGGTCATCGATAAGGGATAAATACATATATAAATATAACCTGAAAGAGCTAGATATAATGATTTTATGGATCGGTTTTGATTTAAAAATGAAATCTAAACTCCAACGCGTTTTTTCCCCCACAAAGCATCAAATTCCATTGGGAGCCCTGTCACCGCTTTATGTTCGTGAACTGTTTGAAATTTACTTCCATTTCATAGCAAATATTACCTCATAAAAAAATAGGTTTTGATAATTAATAGTGTTCAGAATAAAAGTTTATTATTTCGTAAATCTAAATGAATAATTATCGTTATTTTTATCTCTTACGAGAGCTATTTATATCTCACTTCAAATCACGTGGTTTGACTATCACCCCAGGCATTTCTAGATCTGGAGGTGGTTATTTGGATAAACTACGAATAGATACGAAAAGTTTTTTCAAAATCACCATGTAGTCTTTATTTCTTTATAGATTATTCATTTCAGTATACCAATCAGCTTGGTCGGGAGCGCKGGAACACAATCTGCAGTAAATTGTTACTGGGTTGTTTTTTGTGTGTTCAAAATTTATATCAATCAAACTAAACTTGATTCCTCCACTCAATAACCAAGTTTCGATATTCTAGTTGAGTAAAAGACAAAACAATCTGCTCCGGCAAAATAAAAGAATAATATTATCATTAGATTATAAARTACTTCCATTTCGAGTTCMCCTTTGCTCAGTCTTAGCCTTAATTGATGGTGTACAAATGTGTTCTTTTCTTTTATTAAGGTCCATTGTATAGYAAGGAACGTACGCACTACGAACAATACGAGTTGATTAAAATGCCACGGGTTTTGGTTGAATAGCTGAATATTATAACACACAACCGAGGCTAAGGCTGAACGCAAGAGAACTCGAAACTGGAGTATTGTGCTTGTTCACTAAACCAGAATATCGAAGTTGGCTATTGCCTACTTTATATTCGGATATTCCAGTTCATGTTGATGAATATCTACTCTACTAGTAATATTAGTCAAGCCTATCGTGTAGATATTATATAAGATCAGTGACTGCCAGTCCATGTGGGACTTTCTGTCATAATTATAATCAATTATTTGAGGCAACATACATGCTCATACGCTTTTATGTGTCATTTTAAAACTACTGGAAGCTGCATGAGCATGCATGGCTTGTTATTCTGGATGATTAAAGTAACATATAGCTCTAAGATAAACTTTTTAAAATCGTTTTCTTGATCTCTATATTATTACATTGGGGTGCAGTTTTTTTTGGTCAAAATTTAGATTATTCCAAATGACGTTTGCAAGCATAAAATATCAAACTACCTCAATTTTCTTGAGTTCTGATGCATGATGACCTGCAATTTTAATCTTTTCTTTCTTTCTTTCTTTCTTTCTCTTTTAGTTTTAGTTATTTCCAACATTTTTTCCGGAATAAAGTGTCATGACTGCAATGGGATTCACCATGAATCTTATTCAATGAAACCAAACTAACTTATTGTTTTTCCCTTGCAACGTGTACAGCACATATTTAACTTGATGTTTCCCATTTCAGACCACGTGTCATTCCGGCTCTTGAGAATTAGATTCTTTGTTTAAGTTGTATGCATATTAATGTGTCTTCTCACGTACAATGTACAGATTTTTTTGGCCTAACCATGCATGATCACGCGAACACTGCACCGTGTTTCCTATAAGATGAGCTCTTAAAGCATGCTTAGCACACGCGTTAAGTTATGAATATTATTAGCCATCGGGGTTTTGCATTGAACGTGGCAGCAACCTTGTTGGACAGCAGGAACTATTAGCCATTCCGAGGTTAATTAAATTTCTGGTTCAAGTTGGCATTGTAAGGCATTGTTGAGCTGTTTTAGGGGACGAAATAGAACCGCCATCTTGTAAGTATGTCGGTCCACTAAAACACCCCACAAGATGTCCACTCACAATGCACTGGAATTCCACCCCGTCCAGTTTTTTCCTCAATCTCGAAATTGCTAATAGAATCCTTTTCGCCTGAGAAATTGCAATGTTTTCCCATTATCTGTCATTGTCTTGAGGATTATTTATTTCTTATCGCTTGAGAAGGTCTGCCATTATTATGGACGTAACGTATGCAAATAATCTTATTCTCAAGATATTTGAAACGAGAAAACCACAAAAAAATAGGATTTACTGTCATTCCTGCCATGTACCATGGCTGCCGTCACGTGATAGTGCAAGCCTATTATTATTTTTGTGATTATCATTTGTTCTTTATTTTTTCCTTTCCTGCACTCGTTAGGTTTAATATACCCCTACCCGGTGTGGGGATCTCCGTATCAGACCGCCGACCATTTTTGGCCGTTTCAAAACATCACGTCGGAAGGATTGCTCGAGGATGTCCAGGGTGCTGCACACACTATTGTTTACAATGGAGGTAAAATCAAGAAAGTGGATCAGCTTGGTACTTCACTCTTTTTTGATGGCAAGGATGACTGGGTCGACACTGGTAAGTAAGATGCTCGGCCTTTAAATAAATCGTCAACATTATGCTTACTTCATGTTTAGTTAAGTGACAGACAGACAAACAGACAGACAGACAGACGGACAGACAGACAGACAGACAGACAGACAGACAGACAAGTAGGCCTTGACTGTCATTCTCCTAAATATAATATTTGACCTGAAAGCTTTTCACAGATAAATGATGTGGTGAGATAGACCCCTTGCAGCATGTCGGGATGTAGCTCAATTTGGAGGACATAACAATAGGTTTCCAATTGTCACGAGATTCTTTTGTTTTTCCTCCATTGATGAGATGCTTTGACTTCATGCAAGGGGTCTATTTAAAGTCAATAGATAAAAAACAACATTTTCATTTAAAGGCCGCGTGACCCAACACCCTACTACTACTTCGTTTATAGGGCGATGGTTTGAGAACGTTCGAGTACAAATGGTTGATTGTAGTTGATAAACATTTGACTTCGTTAAACTACAAATATTTACTGCGGTTTTTGATATTCTGCGAGCTCGGTAGTTACGAGCTGCACGATGAAATTTGTTTTTCGCTGCCGTCAATCACAAATAATTAGTCGGTACCTTTTATGTTGTTGACTGGCGGCTGTAAAAAAAAAAAAAAAAAAAAATTCAGCCGTTGAAATGTCTGAGTTTGCAGAATATCGAAAACTGCAGTAATCGAAAATGCCAAACGATACAAAGAGACAGTTATCTTTATTTCTATTAATGAATTAATTCTTTTAAAGGCGATTAGACTCAATTTACTTTCACCAGCAAATAAAACTATGATAACGCGGCGCTTTTCCTTCAGTTAGACTGCAAAACAGCAAAAGGCTAGGTTGTCTATAAGCTGAAAAGTAAAATGCGAGGTTAAATTATCCTCGTCGCTTCTGCATAATCMTTATATGTGTGCGATTGCCTTTACTTCCGGTAGCGGCTGAAACAGAAAAAGGACTGGTCACATACGTTTTCACTCTCTCATCTGCCAGCTTTGTTCAACACTACCACGCGTGCGTGGCTACCTTCACTTCCGCTTTCAACACTCCAYCGTGATTGGACTAATTCCTGCTTCGCTCCTTTCCATCTCATAATTGACCAGAACATACCAAAATATACATGTTGAAATTAGTTCTGCCAAACTTCATTTCATYTTCAAGAGCAATCACTTAAATTATTCCACAACAGTGCTATAACTTCTAGAAAAATTAATATAAACTAATTGCTCTGTTCTTGAATAAATTTCATCGAAAAAAGATCGTATCTTAACTGCTTTAACTTCTGGACTAATATTTTATATTAACTAATATTGCCCGGATGATTTTTACATTTAATTCTTTATAATTTCTAACATTTCCCCCCTGTTTTTTTCTGAATTATCTTAAATTATCCAATTAATTGCTTCTCTTTCGAGTTTGTTTTTATTCGGTTGCAACTTTGTCCCTTATTTCTCTATTAATYTTGCGAATTAATTCATGGAGTTCAAAACTCTTTCTAACCGGTGGTATGGCATGGCGCAAGCGAACTAACCAACCCCGCTAATTCTCGTTATATTAATAGGCAACTTTCGACAATGCAGCGAGCTACCTGAAATGAAGTACGGCTGTAAGTAACCAATGATCGATGGCTTTTTTGCCGTTATTTTTGCACCTTTTCGCACTTAATTATTTTAGTTGCACAAATTTGCATAAGGATGGGCTTTCCTGAGAATTTGATTGGCATGTAGGATATTTTTGTCTAGACGGATGATAAATACAAATAAGAAAGCCGTATTTATTTCTTATTTCTTATAAAATCAATTTTGGTTGACATTAAGTACTAAACTTCCGGCTCCTGAATTTTCTTAAAAAGAAATAATTCTTCCTAATTTTTTCAGCGCAACGCAACTAGAACGTCACTTTACAAAATCATAGATTATCAGTGAATATTTTACTGCGCTACAATAATAACTTAATAATCTCGAAAAATTATATTGCCCAAATTGAATGACGTACTCATGACGTGACGGAATGCCCAAATAACAATTCTAATGCATAACCAACTTAAGCTGGTTGGTTGGCCTGGCACGTTTGAACGAAAGAAACAGCAATGCTAGAAAGTCTAGAAAGCGGTTTAGATGAAACGCATTTTATAGATGAATGCTGTTCTTGTTCTCCTTGGCTGAGGATCAATGTTACTACACAGAAAAATTATAAGACATGTAACGAAAAAAAAAAAAAACCATTAGATAACTGAACTTGTCTACACTGTTATCGTACGGTATTAATGATTTAGTAAACGCAAAAAAATGGCCGCATGTTGGTTGATATAACAGGAAAACCTTATACCAAATCCTTGTTTAARTCGACCGAACAACATGGCGGCTATGATGACGTCATATAACAACCCAATGAAATAATTTCATTTTTATTCGAATTAGAAAATTTA